AGGCCCTTCAGGAGGTGGGGACTTCTGGTTTATTATGGGAATGGTTGTATTCCTTGGAGAGAGGGAGGCCATGGATTGGCAGCAACAGCATATATTTGGGACCAGAAAATGCTCCCCTCTGCTGGCCAATGAACAGCTTTCATGTTGGCCCTTTCAAATTTGGAGAGGTCGGAGCAAGGCAGGGAAGAATGCGAAGCAGAGGGAGGAGATCGAGTCTGGCCTCCAGCCCAGCCTGAGACCAGGTGACTTCCTCAGGTGTCCCACGCAGTTTCTTAGCAACGGTGGTGTTTTGTTTTTTTCAACTTCCCCATCTAGGCCGCCACGGGTCGCCTCCTTTCGAAGTGCCAACTGGGCTCGGCTTAGCTTTTTGAATCAAGTAGCAAAAAAAAAAGGGGGGGGGTAAGATGGTGAACATGTTCTGAGCTAAACTTCCCCCGACAGCACAAAGCTGAGTCCTCGTCCCGATAAACTCCTTTTATTTGATTTGCAATGAATTTCCTTCCCAACAAAGTCCCGGCCAACAGCCTTTCATTATAGTTCCCAATTACAAACCTTTATCAGGCTTAGAGAGGGGCCAGGCCTATATCTTTCAGACGCCATGATACTTGGCAAGCATGCTGGAATGGACCAATTGTCTCCTGCAAATCCCCACTCTCCCTTCGCTCCTCTTTTATACTCTAGGGAAGGAAGCCATTCACCATCCACCTGTAGCTTTACTCCCAAGTCGACCCTTGTTCCTCAGCTGTTCCCTTCATCTGGCAGCTCTGTGCATGCGCACACTGGGAACAGGCTCCAGCTGTTCTTCTGCTTTACTCCGACTCCGAAGGCAGCTGATAACTGTTGGATGGCCCTGGATCCATCTCTGCCTCCGACACAGAGCCCTTTTCAGAGCCTTCCCCAGACTCCAGGACTGGCCCATGTTCCTCCCCAACCTCCTCACTGTCCGAATCTGCCACCAGCTCCGTTGGCCGCTGTTGGGCCACAACAGAACGGGGGATCAGATCAGGTCTGCTAAAACATCATTTCGGATCCTCAGCAGGCATCAAGAAAGTCACCAGTGGTTAGATGACTGTGGAGATTCTCAATCATCCAGGTCATGGTTGTCCCAAAGGTCCCCCCCCCCACCAAAAAAAGGCAACTGGACATGTTCTTCTGTTAAGACATCATCCAAGAAGAACTGAAGAAGCTTCTTGGGTGAGAAGCGAAATGTTTTCAAAGAAAAAGACCAAGAAAGTCCAGTTGCCACTTCCTGTTTCCAATGTGAGACTTCCAAGAACATTACATTTTCCTAGAGCTTAAACAAAAATGTTTAAGGGATTTTGGATTTGGCTCCTGAGGTTAGAGACTGATGTCTTCTACATATGTTAGACTCCGTTTCCCATAAGCTCAGCCCTCCTGGCCAAGGGTCAAAAACCTTGGCAGACAATTGCAAAACTTCAGAAGGACATCAGATTATCTACCACTGATCAATCCACCAGCATCTAGGCACGTGCCCAGATTCTCCAGAGAATTTTTATCGTTTTATTTATTAAACTTAGATGCCACTCGTCTTCCCTTGAGAGGCATTAAATGGCTTACCATCAGTAACAGCAAAATAAAGCGTCAGAACCATAGACATTAGCAGTAGAATTGATTCAAAATGGACCAAGATGGGGAAAGAAAGGCACAAGATGCACCCAGGAGAGGCGTTTGGGGCTCTTCTTCTTGGTCCATTAACACACACACACACACACACCCCGATTCATGATTCACACAATTCAATTCAGATAGAACATTCGTTCTTGTACCCTAGTGAAGTTGCCCATAGTTGCACTCAAGTCGTTCTTTAAGGGAGAGAGTTGTGAAATGCAACCCTCCCTCTTAAAAATAATAGAGAGACCCCAAGCGCATTCCAGCAAACCAGACTCTGGCCGGCTTCCATGGTTGGAGAATATATCTTAGACTATGGATTTACGACAGGAAGGGAGACGTCTCCCGCTGATCTGAAAAGGCTTAACATTTCACAGGCACGAGGGGTGAGATTAATGAAACTTTTCCTTTGGTTTAGCATCTGGGGAAGGTCCTGTGTAGGGAAGGGAAGGGGTTACGGGCTCCAGGATCCCTGCTGCTTCAATCCCAGAACCTCACTGTGGGATCTCCAGAATGTTTCTGAAGGCAACGTGGCAGATAAAGGAGGTCGCTTTCCCGTAGCTGGGGTATGCTGAGAGTTGAGATCCATCCCTCTTAAAATGGCTGCAGTTGGAAAACACTACATGGTTGTGAAGTGATGAAACCCAGGCTGGGCCAAAGTTTAGGAAGGAAAAGATCCTTTCACAAAATTATCCGGAACCCAGGAATTGGGAAGGAAGGAAGGAAGGAAGGAAGGAAGGAAGGAAGGAAGGAAGGGGAAAATGGGAGCGGGGAGGAAGGAAGAGTAAAGGAAAGGAAAAAGATGGGAGGGAGGGAGAGAGAGGGAAGGAAGGAAGAAATGGAAGGGGAGGGGGAAAAGAAGGGAGGAAGGAGATGGGAATGGGAGGGAGAGAGGAAGGAAGGAGAGAGAGGAGGAAGGGAAGGGAAGAAAAAACGGGAGGGGAGGAAGGAAGGAGATGGGAAGGAAGGAGGGAGGAAGGAAAGCAGCAGAGGAAGGAAGAAAAGAAGGGAAGGAAGAGATAGGAGAAGAAGGAAGGAAGGCTCTTTTCACAAAATTATCCAGAACCCAGGAGTTGGGCTGGATCCATGAAAGGTTCTTCTGAACCAGCTTTCCGGTTTTCCCAGCACTTAACCCGGCACCCACGAGAAATCCCTCAGTTGGACATCAACCCAGAGGCATCTTCCGCTTGTGTTTTCTTGATATACCTGCCAGGTAGAACAGCCAGTGTCTATGGTCCATCTGTGTTTTGCTTTTGTTTTGTGTTTTTTTTCCCCCTTCCTCTGCAGATTTTGGGTTTGGGAACTTCTACAAAAGCGGCGAGCCTCTGACCACCTGGTGTGGAAGCCCTCCTTACGCAGCTCCCGAGGTCTTTGAAGGCCAGCAGTACGAGGGGCCGCAGCTGGACATTTGGGTATCTGCCTCATGTTAAACGAAGCCCTTCCTTGGTTTCCCTTTTTTTTTCTTTTTTTTTTCAACACCCTCTTCCTTTTCTACTTACATTTTTGTTTTTCTGACTTGCTAAAATACCTCCTTCTTGTCGCAAGACGAGAGCTTTGAGTCCAGAAAACCTTCCCCGTTGAAACCTGCAAGGCAGGGAGCCGCTCAGCGGATGCAGAAAACGGACTCCAATTCTCCTCCTCTCCCTCCATCTCTCTCTCTCCCCCCACTCCTCCCTCTCTCTCTCCCCCTCCCCTCTCTGCCCCCATCCTGAATTTGGACCAAGATGTCTTGGCGTGTCAACGCTGGGCTGAGCAGATTTAAGTTCTCCCCCCTTGGGAGATCCCACCAGATTCTCGAAGCCTGGAGGGATTTGGCTGCTAGCCTTCTAGGGAGAAGAAGGCCTGGCCTTTGGCAGTCTTGCTACAGGGCTGGGCTCCGTGCCTTCTTCCTTCATGCAGCTCTTGGGGGGAAAAGGAAACACAGAGGGGACACCAGGGTCCCCCAGAGGACACCTAGCAGAGCCCAGGGCCTTACGGTTGCTGTTGTTGTTTTTTTTAAACGCCCCGTCAGGGTGGGACTCTGCCTTCTGAGCCCCTCCTGGGATCCGCAGGGCCTCTGCAGATGCTTTCGCAGGCTCTGGTGGGTTTGGGGGCGAAGCCTTCGTCCCTTTTGGGTCAGGCAAGGCGAGGGGAGAAGAGCACGAAGCGGTCTGGAGCCTGCGCCAGGCCTATCTGTTGATCGGTTGCAGGCCTGGACTGCGGATGCAGGGAGGATCCCTTGAGGACCAAAGGCCTCCTTTGAAGTCGGTCCTTCTTCAGAAGCGTGGCAGGCTCCCAACCTCAGCGCCATCCTCTCCCCCCCCTCCCTCCCCTTAACAAGGGAGCCCATTTCATCCGGGAGGCTCTGCAACGAGGAGGAGCAGCTGCCCCCTGGCCCCGTATTCCCTGCCCCTCGCTCCCAAACGAAGAACCCCGGGCACACCCCAAACGCCCCCAAGGGCTGAGGACGGCCCCTCGCGCTCTGCACAAACGTGCCAAAGCGACGGGGATGGATGGCAGGAGCTGTTGACTTGGCCCGGCTGCTAAGGAAAACATCCTGCCTGTGGATCCCAGAAGGGAAGAATGTGCCTGAGAGCACGGAGATCGGCGGGGCGGGGCGGGCTTGGCTGACAAAACCGGTCGAGGTTCGCTCCCTAATGGAAGCTTTGATGTGAACCAGAGCAGGTCAGAGAAGTTGGGAAGGAAGGAATTGGGAATGGGAGGGAGAGGAAGAAAGGAGGGGAAGGGAAGGGAAGGGAGGAAGAGTAAAGGAAAGGCAAAAGATGGGGGGGAGGGAAGGAAGGAAGGAGAGAGGAAAGGAAGGAGAAGGGAGGGAAGGAAGGAAGGAGATGGAAATAGGGAGGGAAGGGAAGGAAAAATGTGAGGGAAGGAAGGAAGGAAGAGTAAAGGAAAGGCAAAAGATGGAGGGAGGAGGGAAGGAAGGAAGGAGATGGGAATAGGAGGGAGAGGGAGGGAGGGAAAAATGGGAGGGAGGAAAGGAAGGAAGAGTAAAGGAAAGAAAAGAGATAGGAGTGGGAGAGGGGAAGAAAGGAAGGAGATGGGAATGGGAAGGAGGGTGGAAGGAGGCAGGGAGGCTTCACGAAGGAAGGAATCATGAAACGATGACTGCCATCTTTGGAGCAGGGCGGTGGTGAAGGCCTCTTGTGTCCCCAGATCTCAGATCCCCCCCCCCCACTCCTCTTTCGCAGAGCCTGGGCGTGGTCCTTTACGTCTTGGTTTGTGGAGCGTTGCCCTTCGATGGACCGACCCTCCCCATCCTGCGGCAGAGAGTTTTGGAAGGGAGGTTCCGCATCCCCTATTTCATGTCTGAAGGTACAGCCACCTTTCCTTTCGGGGGTCTTTCCGCCTCCGTTCCCTGCAGACCCCCATCTGCTGTAGGTGATGGAGATGGGAAGGGACAAGAAGTCCCAGAGAGAGGGAGGGAGGAAGGGAGGGAGAGGGAGGGTGGGAGAGAGAGACACACACACACACAGAAAGAGAGACAGACAGACACACACACACAGAGAGAGACAAAACAGGGAGAAAGAGAAAGAGAGGGAGGGAGGCAAAGACAGAGAAGGAGGCAGAGAGACACATACACAGAGAGAGACACACAGAGAGACAGAGACAGACAGACATTGGCCTTTGGATGTTTGGCCAAAACAGACAGAATTTGCACTGGGACCCCAGTTGTGTCCATCCTCACAAAGGGCAGAGCTGTCAAGAAGGCCTGAAATTGGACATGGACATAATCTGTGGCTTAAAAGTCAGCTGTAGGGTGACGTTGACCTCTTGACAGCTTCCTTCTGTGTCCCTATTCGCACAGGACAGGCCTTCAAGCAAGGCCCAGCCTTAGAAGAGCTGGGGAGGGGGGCTCATCCGCAAAGCCAGGGAGGGGGTGAGGTCTCCCGTAACTCCATTCTGACATAAACAAGGTGTGATTCATGGTCGGCCTGTCTGTGGCTATAAGTCCAGGGGTGGAAATGTCATCGAAAGCAGCCAGGGCGTTATACTGAACTGCCCCAGGAAGGAATGGCTGAGTCCAGGTAGAAAACCTTGTGTTGGCATCCATTTTCTCCCGATTATTATTCAAAGCTCTATTTTGGCTCCCCCCCCCCCTAATTGTGCACCTGTGGGAGAAGTAGATTTTGTATTTTGTGCAAAGTAAAGCCACTCCATTCGTGTTGATTTTTATCTTCAGCAATAACTTAATTGGCATCTAAGCTATATATTGCCTATTATAGATAGAAGAGAACAGAATATAGAGTTGAGTAGAGTAGAGTAGGAATAGAATAGAGCAGAACTAGAACAGAATAGAATAGAGAAGAATAAGTAGAATAGGAATAGAACAACAGAACAGAATATAGAGTAGAGTAGGAATAGAATAGAGCAGAACAGAACTGGAACTAGAATAGAAAAGAGAAGAGAAGGAAAGGAAAGAAAAGAGAAAATAAAATAAATATAGAAATAGAAGAATAAGTAGAATAGGAATAGAACAGAACAGAACTAGAATTAATAGAATAGAATAGATAAAAACTTGAAAAATGGCCTGAAAACAGCCCAAAGAACAGACAAAAATGGACAAAAATCAGGCATGCACATGCCAGCCAGCTAGTCTTTTGGTTTCCGGCGCAATAGTGCGCATGTACACGCTTAGTGCCGAAAAGGTTCACCATCACTGTTCTATTCTATACCAAGACTTCTCCCCTTCCTGTATCCAACTCTTCTTTTTCGTTTTTGGGGCCCACGCAGAGTGCGAGCATCTCATCCGGAGGATGCTGGTTCTGGATCCATCCAAGAGACTCAGCATTGCTCAGATTAAGGAGCACAAGTGGATGCTGATAGAGGTTCCAGTCCAAAGGCCCACTCTCTATGCCCAGGGGCAAGAGAACGGGCCTCCCATCGGAGAATACAACGAGCAGGTCCTGAGGTTGATGCACAGCCTGGGAATTGACCAGCAAAAGACCATTGAGGTAAAAACAGCCTCCAGCACGGAGAGATGATTTAATCCAGGTTATCTATATCTTAGAGGGAGGCGGTGGCTCAGGGCCTAAGACGCTGAGCTTGTCGATCAGGAAGGTCGGCAGTTCGGCAGTTCGAATCCCCAGTGCCGCCTAACAGAGTGAGCTCCCGTTATTTGTTCCAGCTTCTGCCAACCTAGCAGTTCGAAAGCATGTAAAAAATGCAAGTAGAAAAACAGGGATCACCTTGGGTGGGAAGGGAAGAGCGTTCCTCCGTGTGCCTTCGAAGGCGTTTAGTCCTGTCGGCCACATGACCACGGAGACGTCTTCGGACAGCGCCGGCTCTTCTTCGGCTTTGCAACGGAGATGAGCAGCGCCCCCTAGAGCTGGAAACGACTAGCATGGATGTGCAAGGAGGGGAACCTTTACCTATATCTTAGGTCTCCAAAATATCAGGGAAGAGGGGTTGTTTCCATTGTTGCTTCTATTTTATTGTGCAATTCTTGGTGAGGGGGAATTATATATTGGAACAGGGGGAAAAAATAGGTACTTTTCGTTTCGTGGATTGTTGTTGTTTTTCCCCCCTAAGCACAACTTTTGGAAATTCCCTCTGGGCAACCCGAATCGGTATTTTTTTCCTTTCAAAAGGGCCGGTTCTCATTATTCCAGGAATGTTTACATCCCTCGTGCTTAAAGGCTTCTTAAAACTTCCACGTCCTCCAATTTCCATGTCTGAGCTTAGCTTCCAGAGGACAAGGAAATTCGGTTGTTGTTGGTTGGTCCGAGGAAATTTGGGGAAATTACAAGTCGGAAGGAACACAGGAAATCCAAACCCACCTTTTTTTTATTTTATTTTTTGTTTCCGTATCGAAGCTTCTTGCCCGGCCCGAGAACTGACCGTCTGCTTAAGAAACGTGCAGAGTCTCCTTTTTATTTTCGGTCTCTGGGCTAGGATTCCAAACCAAGCTTCTTTCCAGAAATAAATGCTCCCGACTGCTCCCCACGGACTCCCTGCGATCACTTCCTGAGAGCGGCCGATATTTTTAGCTGGTGTGGAGCCTGCAATATTAAGGCTTCCTGCCAGCAACTGCGGCAGGGGGTTGGGGAGGGGGGGGGGGCAGGGGGAGGATGTACGTCAATGAAACTTTGAGCTTTGCAGCTTCGCCTTCCCTCCAGGCCTTGGAATTGGGAAAGACCCAGCCGGAGTTGGGTTTCACTTTTGCAGGGATCAAAAGGCCTGAGGCTGGAGGGGGTGTTGAGCTCCCCCCTTTGCAAAAGGGTGTCTTGTTTTGCTCTTAAAAGCCTCAAATGGCCACAGGGTGCAAGAGTCCATTGTCCCCCATGAGGCTGAAATATGATTGGGGTTCACTGCAGGTAAAAGTCTCCTGTCCTCCAGGCCATTTGGTTGTCCCAAAGGTGCTTTTTTTTCCCCCGCCAGGAGGCAACTGGAGTTTCTTGTTTTGTTTTGTTTTTCTTTTGAAGGTGTTTGGCTTCTCACCCAAAGAAGCTTCTTCACCTCCGACAGGATGGCGGGGAAGGGAAGGATTTATACTCCTTGCAGGCAGCTGGTCATTTGCATCCTTTTGGAGGGTGGCTGAGGCCGCTTGGAGGTTTATCCGTGTCCTCAGGGTCACCTGAGTGGTGCAAATGGTTCTTGTAGTCTGCAATTCTTTTTCCTCTGGAAATCCACTCTTACTCCCACACCATTCAAAAGGAGTTCAAATTGTATAGCTAAAAGTTTGTAGAGATTCTCCTTGCCTCCAGGTCATGGTTGTCCCAAAGGTGCTTTTTTTTCAGGAGGCAACTGGACTCCCTTGTTTTTTTCTCTTTGAAGACATTTCGCTTCTCATTCGAGAAGCTTTTTCATCTCACAGGATATTGGGGAATGGAAGGATTGATTGCAGGCTCCAGGAACCAGGAGCACCACTCAGTTTGACCCCGAGGACACAGATCAACCTCCAAGTGGCCTCCACGACCCTCTAAAAGGATGCAAATGACCAGCTATGTTGCAAGGAATATCAATCCTTCCATTTCCCCACCATCCAAGTCAGAGCTGCCGATGAAGCTTCTTGGATGAGAAGGTGAAACCAGTCCCAAGTCACTTATTTCCAGTGCCACTGTAACTTCGAATGCTCACTAAATGAATGGTTGTAACTTGAGGAGTGCACCCTGATTCAGGGGAACTCTGCACCATCCCCGGGAGGTGGGGGGCAAGGCCTTGGGGCAGGGGAATGAACCGATGCCCTGACGTAACGCTTGGGTCCTTGTTTCCTTCTCAGTCCCTGCAGGATAAGAGCTACAATCACTTCGCTGCTATCTACTACCTGCTGGTGGAGAGGCTGAAGTCCCACCGCAGTAGCTTCCCCATCGATCAGCGGTTAGACTCTCGCCAGCGGCGACCCAGCACCATCGCCGAACAAACGGTCGCTAAGGTAAAAAAACAAACAACAACACCCGGGCTCTGTTCTAGAGCGGTTGGACGACCTAGAACGCGGAAGAGCGGTTGGACAACCTAGAACGCGGAAGGATTTTCTTCCTGGGAAGCTCTCCTCAGTCAACTCCAGTCCGTACACCGTGCCACCACCGGTTGGTTATTCAGACCTCTCCTGGTAGTCCCATTTTAACTAAACCTGCCACAAAAGTCCTTGTCACCCACTGCTATGTGTTTCTGGAAATGGACAGGAAATCCTGTATTGTCAAGCCAGCAGCTTGTTTAGAGAGAAGGGCACCATCTCGGGAAGTATTTCTCAACCTCTACAACTTTAAGGTGGCTGGGGAATTCTGGGAGTTTGAAGCCCACCCATCTTAATGTTGCCAAGTTTGAAAAAAAAAAAAAACACCCGGATCTCGGACCTCTAAGTGGTTCTTCCCATTGACTTCAGAAACAACCAAATCTGAATAATGTTGATTAAATGTAAACCACCCAGAAGCTCCCAATCTGTCCTGAACTCGTTTTGACAGCTGGCTGATGAATATCTCCTGGCTTCCCCTTTTTGTCCCCACTCCATTCCAGGGGACAAATAACTGCCCTTCCTTATATGTTGATGGATGTTAGCCCTTGGGGTGGCCTTCCTGGTTCCTTTTGCCTCGAGTCAGTAGGGAAGTCTCAAGTTGTGAGATTGGGAGAAGTTGCTTGCTGCACTTTGACCTCTTCTGTCTTCCTTGTTGCCGTTTAAGTCAAGTTGAGACTCTAGAAAGAGTGCAGAGAAGAGCAACCAGGATGATGAGGGGACTGGAGGCTGAAACATACTATGAACAGCTGCAGGAACTGGGCCTGGCTAGTCTAGGGAAGAGAAGGACCAGGGGAGACAGGATGGCAGTCTTCCAGTATTTGAGGGGCTGCCCCAGAGAGGAGGAGGAAGGGGTCAAGCAATTTTCTAAAGCACTTGAAGGCCAGAGAAGGAATAATGGGTGGAAACTGAACAAGGAGAGATTCAACCTGGAAATAAGGAGAAACTTTCTGACAGTGAGAAACAATCAACCCCTGGAACAGAAGTTGCCCTTGGAAGTTGTGGGAGCGACATCACTGGAAGCTTTCAAGAAGAGACTGGACTGCCATCTGTCAGAAATAGTGTAGGGTCTCCTGCTTGGGGGGGGTGGGGGTTGGACTACATAACCTACAAATCCCTTCCAACTCTCCTCTCCTCTCTCTTTCTCCTCCTCTCTTCTCTCCTCCTTCTCTCCTCTCTCTCCTTTCCTCCTCCTCTCTCCTCTCCTCTCTCTCCTCTCTCCTCTCCTCTCTTTCACTCAACTCCATTCTATTCACTTTTCGTCCTAACATCCTTGAACTTCCCGGTTTCCTTTGGCTTCTGCTCGAATCCTCTTTTGACCACCGTCCTTTTCTCTCGCCCTTCGCAGGCATCTGTCGCTCCTGTAAACTTGCACAGTCCAAACGTTCGGCTCCGAAGGTCTCCTGGCCTCCCACCGACCGCCGAGGCCTTCTCCTTTTCCAGGTCCGTCTGCCAGGCGGAAACGGCTTTCATGGAGGAAGAGAGAATCGACACCCCCAAAGTAAGGGCTGCACCTTGCCTTTTCGCTCTGCAGGGGGGACTGTGGGGCCTGATGCTTGGGTTCCCTTTGGCTTCTTGTGGCTGCATTCCAGCCCCTCCCCCTCCCCAGGAAAGGGGCTGGCTCTTCGGGGCAAGGACACCATGGTTATGCAAAGATACGGCTGCTCCGGCGAGCTTGGGCTTAGGAGGGGGGCTGAAGAGACCCCCCAGCAAGCTGGAGAGAGGGGGAAGACTCTCTGGTGAAAAGAGCACGCGGGGTATGAGAAACCCCCTTTCAGGGTGACCCCCTTGCTGGCTGGGGAATTCTGGGAGTTAAAGTCCATCCATCTTAAACTTGCTAAGGTGAAGAAACGCTGATCTAGCAATAGCAACAGCAAGTAGACTTCTACACTGTTTCATAATGCTTTATATCATCATCCTCTCTAAGCGGTTTACAGCCTTTTGCCCCCAAACAATCTGGGTTCTCATTTTACCCACCTCAGAAGGAATGGGAGGCTGAGTCAACCTTGAGCCAGTCAGGATCGAACTGGTGGCAGTGGACAGAGTTAGCTTGCAATACTGCATTCTAACCACTGAGAAGGAAGGGAAGGGAAGGGAAGGGAAGGGAAGGGAAGGAAGGAAGGAAGGAAGGAAGGAAGAAAGGAAGGAAGGAAAATAGCAATAGACTTTAGAGTTATATACCGCTTCACAGTGCTTTCCAGCCCTCTCTAAGCGGTTTATAGAGTCAGCCTCTGGCCCCCAAACAATCTGGGCCCTCATTTTACCAACCTCAGAAGGATGGAAGGCTGAGTCAACTTCGAGTCTGTCAGAATCAAGTGCAAGGATTTCTCATAAGTTCAATTTTTCAGTGCCGTTCACTCAATGACCGGCTTTTAGGGATATCATCTCGTCACTAAAGGGAGTAGCTTGCGTGTGGGCTGCTGTCTTCAAACCCTGGTTTCTTTTCTCCTTCCGATTAGGTGAACGGATGCCTGCTGGATCCGGTTCCCCCAATGATGGTGAGGAAGGGGTGCCAGTCCCTCCCGACCAGCATGATGGAAACGTCCATCGATGAAGGGATCGAAGCCGAAGGGGAAACGGAAACGGATCCTGCCCAGGCCTTCGCGGCGCTGCAAGGATCTCGCAGTGGGAAGAGGCGACATACCTTGGCCGAAGTGACCAACCCCCTCTTAGCCATGCCAGGCCCAGGTACGAAATGGGGTCTGAGGGTTTTGGGCTGGAGAATCAGAGCTTCAGACCAAGGTTGGAGAGCCCTGCATTAGAGGGGGAAACCTTAGAGGGGGAAACTTTGTCCACAGTCTGTAAAGTCAAAAGTCGCTTGCAAGTGAAACCAATACTGAGGAAAGGCCCTTCTTGTAGGCCCCACCAAGTGACCTGTGGCCCTTCTAGGACTTTAGATAACAACGCTCCCGGTGGGATCATGGCTCATTCTCTTCCTTGTGGTTCTTCTTGGGTCCCGAAGGAAAAGTCTTCTCCGTGGACGCGAACCAATCCTTGAGCAGCGTTGACTCGGAATACAACATGGGATCGATCCAGAGGGATTTAAACTTCCTGGAAGACACCTCCTCCTTGAAGGAAATGGTTCTGGCCAACCTGCCAGCTCCGAGGTTGACCCCCCCTTTCATTGGCCTGAGGCCGCCTAACCCAGCCATGCAGGCACTGGTGGCCCACAAGCGGGAAGCCCACAATCGGTCCCCAGTCAGCTTTCGAGAGGGGCGCAGGGCATCGGACACGTCCCTGACGCAAGGTACCCGCTCTGGATTAAGGGGCGTCGGAGGGAGAGGCGGTCTTCGGTGGCCAAAGCCTCGTTGCCATTGGCTGCAGGAGTTGGGGGGGGGGGCGCAATGGGTTGACTTGGCCAAAGGGGGGTTGGGATTGGCTCTTGCAAGCTTGCAGCTGGAACCAAAAGAGAATTCAGAAGTTGGTCGCCGCGACTTGCTTGCGAAAGAATCTTTAAACCACTTGGAATTGCTCCGCTCTTTACCCAAGAGGCAACTGGGCTTTCTGGTTTTTCTTTTGAAGACGTTTCGTTTCTCATCCAAGAAGCTGCTTCAGCTCTGACTGGATGGTGGGGAAGGACTTACATCCCTTGCAGACCAGCATTCTTTGATCATTTGCATTCTTTTAAAGAGTTGTTGAACTTGGAGGTTTGTCTATGTCCACGGGGTCAGCTAAGTGGGGCAAATGGGCGTGGAGCCATCTTGGAATTGCAGAAAGAACTGTGTTGTGGACTGTCATATCCCTCCCCCTCTCAATGACCCTCTAAAAGGATGCAAATGACCAGCTGTCTGCAGGGAGCATAAAACCTTCCCTTCCCCACCATCCAGTCGGAGCTGAAGAAGCTTCTTGGATGAGAAGAGAAACAAATCTTCAAAGAAAAACAAGGAAGTCCAGTTGCCTCTTGAAAAAAAAAGCACCTTTGGGACAACTTGGATGATTGACAATCTCCGCAGACACTCCGCTCTTTAACTTTTCAACAGGAATTGTCGCGTTCAGGCAACACCTTCAGAACTTGGCCAGAACCAAAGGCATCCTGGAGCTGAACAAAGTCCAGTTGTTGTATGACCAGATGAGGTCAGAAGACGAACCTTCTCTGGAATCCGCTTCTCCTCACTTGCATGACCTTGAGGGTGGTTCCCATCAGGTATGTCCTTAGAGAGGAATTGCATCATCTGGGTCGGTACTGTCTGGAGCCCCTGAGCTCTCTCTCTTTTTTTTTGTTTAAATATATGTTTTATTTTTATTCATAAACATTTTGAATACAGTGTATTGCCAGGGCATATCATTTACAAAAAAGCAAAAGGAAAAAACAAACAGAAATATCAACATATATACTAGTAACAAAAAAGATAGTGTAACAGAATAATTTTAACTAAGTTTCTTTGTATTAGCTTATTTATAGTTCTGTTAATTGTATCAACATGTTTTTAATAGTCAACCCTCTTTGTATTTAATTCTTACATAACAATAATCTTTCTTCACCTAATTTCTACCTGTTATCTCTAGCCACTCGTAAAATCTATTCCATGTTAAGTAATATTCTGTGTCTTCTTTAGCTTTTATTTTTAATGTCAACCAATCCATCTCTGCGCAGTCTAGTGTTTTCTGAATTACATCCTCATCTGATGGGTGGTTCTCATTTTTCCAGTGTTGTGCAAATACAATCCTTGCAGCTGTCAATACATGCAAAATTAAATATACAGTCCCTTGGAGCCCCTGAGCTCCTACATTATAAGCCAGCCTGTTCCTGAAGCTACCTTGGAAGGAGTGAAGATATCTTAGGGCTTCCCCTCACCAGCAGCTTCTGAAAGTCTGAATATTTGGGATCGGGGAGGTGGCTTAGATAGGTGTAGATAAGAAGGGATGATGGAAACTGCAGCACATCAAGCACAGGGTTTTGATTCATCTGGGCATGAAATGTGGCACTGTCTGCTGTGATGACCTGGAGTGTAACACAAATGTAACAAAATCCAAAACGTAAATAAATGTCCTTTAATGCCTCTAACTTGGCCCCACTGCTCAATAATTCTCAGTTGGAGATAAAACTTATTCAAAAATAGTCTTCAAAAGAAAGCAATACAGTCCAAACTTAATGAGCAGATAGAGGTGAAATAAAAAAAACTAAAGCAAACTACAATGAAGGAATTTCCACAACAGACCAGGAGAAGTAATTACCAACTTCAAGGAGATAACAAGGCACAGTCTGTTGGAAGGACGCCAACCAAGATAACTTCAGCCCAAAATAAAACACGCTTTGCTTCTGGCCACGCTGTGTTGTAACCATCTCTCTTACATACTATTCTCCCCAGCTGCCACCAATGAGGGGGATCATGGCCGCTTCCTCTCTCGTAAGCCAAGTTGCTTCCTTCTCTGTTCCTCCCTGTGTGCCCTAGGATGGAGAGGGGATGGGCCTGGGTCCTCCTCTGACTGCCCAGCCAGCCTCTGCCCTTCCCCCAGCCTCCTCCACAACCTCCGGAGCCACACCTCCACTCCCTGTCGGCTGTTCCTCCTCTCCCTCAGAGTCTGACTCTAACGAGGCCATGACACTGCTATCTGGTGCCATTCCTCCCAGTCTAGAGGATCTGGAGATCTTCTGGGTGGCCAAAACCTCTGCTTGGACTTTTCGCCGTTCCCTTCTCTGTATGACAGATAATACAGGCTGAATGTTTGGTGGTGGTGGTGGTGGAGGGTGGAATTACTTTGAATGAGATGTTTTTTCCCCCATTCCCAAAGAGTCTGGCCAGTTGTCCAGCGTCGTAGCCCTTTGTTTTTCTGCACCTTTCCGAGCCCACCTCTTGCTCCAAACCCCCAGGGAGATCATTTGGCTGATAAGGTGTTCTCCTCCCCCCCGTTTCTCTCTCCAGGAAGAGGCACCCTTGTCACAGGAGGCAGCTTCCACCTTCCCCAGCAGCCTCCATCCCCCGTTGCTATCCAGGCGCCAGAGCTTAGAAACTCAGTATTTGCAACACCGGCTTCAGGTATGTCCCCTTCCTGGAAAGCCTGGAAGTCAACGGGAAGGAGCTGTTCATTGGAAGAGGCTGCCCATCCTTCTAAGGTGGGGAGGGGGCAGGAGGGGAGGGGCTGTAGGAAGGCTGGGGGGGCGGGGAGAGGGAGTCTTAGACCCAACCCACAAAGCCTCCCACCTGACTCGTCGAGCCTTTCCGGTGGCAGCTTCGAAATGCCGTGCATTGCAGCGAGGCCCAAAGCTCTCTCTTCTTCTTCCCCGTCTCCTTCCAGAAGCCCAGCCTGCTTTCGAAAGCCCAGCATGCGTGCCAGATGTTTTGCAAGGAGATACCTCGGAGCCTGGAACAGCAGCTGCAGGAGCAGAGGTGAGCCCCACATTCGGGGAAGGGTCGGCATCCCAGAAAGCCCCACTAGCAAAGACTGGAGAAGCAGCGAAACTTGGGGAGGATACAGCCCACCCTAACAGTGGGTTCTTCCACCGGAAATAGAATCTCCCCTCCCACAAAAAAAAAGACTCCCTTTGGTGCTGGGAAACAAAGTAGTTGTCAACTCATCAAATATTTCTAGGGTCTTTTTAGAGGGGCCAACAGAAAGGGAGAAAGGGGGAGCAGTGCGGCAGCTTGCAAAACCAAAACTGCATTCCATCAATGTTTTCAAAGATAGTAACTAGGTGACTGAAGTTTCTGCCATACAAAATTCTAACTGGAGAGCATGATTAATGACTCTTGACTATGGATGTGTCCCATTGGAGAATATGAATTATGGTACACTTAGAGGGTGGGGGGAAACCAGGGTCAAGGGTGACAATGAATAATGTGTCTCAGAGTTGGCTACACCCAGGCAGTGCCGGACATGTTAACTCCCAATAAATCCTTTTGAACAGGGATCCCCAACCTTTTCGACGCTGCGGCCCGGTTCCGGCGTCAGCTGGGCGCCGCCATCTTTTTTGACGAAAAATTGCTTTTTTTACCAAAAAAAGATGGCGGCGCCCAGCAACCAGCGGCCCGGTAAGGCTTGTTCCGCGGCCCGGTACCGGTCCGCGGACCGGCGGTTGGGGACCCCTGCTTTTGAAGGTTTGGAAATTTGGCTTGAGATTCATGATTTAAATGGGGGTGACTATCGGAAACCTGACCGTCATCCCAGCCTCTAAACAACCCCCATGTTCCCTTCCCACTCAGTACAGAGCTCCCGATCATCAAGTAACAGAATTCTCTTGCCAATCTGGGCCGGAGAATTCTGGGAGTTGAAGTCCACAAGCTTTCAAAGTTGCCCCGGTTGGAGAGACACACACACACACCCCACCCGGCTTCTGGGAAAGCAGGCTAACCGGCCCTTCTCCCCCTCTTGATTTAGGTTGTATCAGAAGCACCTCTTCCTCCAGAAGCAGTCCCAGCTGCAGACCTACTTCAACCAGATGCAGATCGCCGAGAGCACCTACTCCCGATCCAGCCAGCTGCCCCTCCCTTGCCACGAGGAGCCCCCTCCTCCTCCCCCTCCCCCTCCCCCTCCTCCCCCTCCCCAGTTCAGCCTGGTGCAGCCCTTGAGTCCTGTCATGGAGCCGCCGTCGGCCGAAGACATGCAATACGACCCTTTCCTCAGCCAGTATCAGAAGCTGCAGCTCGGCCCACAACCTCCTCCTCCCGCCCTCCACGGCTCCCCCCAGGTCCCGGCCCAGCAGCCGTACCCCTACCAGACTTGCGAGGGGCCCCTTGGTCTCTCGCCAGAGCTAGATTATGCCAGCCAGCCTCCGTATCCCCTGGATCCTACCCAGCAGAGCGGCGTAGCCATGACCAACGTCCAGAGGGGCTCGGAACTTCCTGGGTCTCAGTCCAGCTATGACACCTTAAACCTTGCCCAGTTGCCTGGGCTCTTGGATTGTGAAATGATGGAGACGGTCGACCCGCAACACGGAGGCTACGTCTTGGTCAACTAGCAGCTTCCTGGAGAAGAGGACGGCGGGTCGAAGTCCAGCCACGCCGTGGCTGCGGATTCCCACCGGGACTCCACGGCGGCTTCTCCAAACCTTTAAGCTTTCACGGCCGAAGAGCCCAACTGAACTGGTACTAGCGGAGAAGGGCCACGTTTCCCCTTTCCAGGAGGGCTGAAGGCAGGCCTTACCCCTTCCCCAGAACAAAGAACTACTCGGAAGAGAAGGACGACTGCCCACACCTGGGAAGGAAGGAAGGAAGGAAACCTTCCAGAAGTCTCGGGCGTTCTACTCACCGCTCAACCTCTGCCCGAGGAAACCTGGGAGAATTCAGGAAGAGGAGTGAATTATGCTCTACACCACACTTGGCAATAAAAGCAATACCTTATTATTATTATTATTTTTTTCCCCCATTGGAACCTGGCCGAGATGTCGTCGACACGGAAGCCAGTCAGGAATGTAGGATGTCCCCCTGGGCTTTAGAATTGGCCTGCTAAGCTAGGCTAGGCTGTAGGTCAGAGGTGGGGAAATGGTGGCCGTCTTAGGACTGGTGGACTTCCAACTCCCAGAATTCCTGAGCCAGCCATTCCTGCTGGCTTGGGAATCCTGGGAGTTGGAAGTCCGCCAGTTCTAAGACGGCCATCATTACTCATCCCCACGTAGATGTTCTTCAGAGGACTTGCAGGAACTCTTTGGACTTCTTTTTTTGTTGAGCAGAGGACTTGCAGGGAACTCCGAACCTTTGCACATCTCGCGAACGCCCTGGATGACGGACGAAAGCGTCCCTCGGTCCATCCTGAAATTCAACTTGGAGTCAACATCTAGGATTGTGGAGGCCTTCCAGAGATCAGCAGGGAAGGAGATCCGGGAGTCCGAAGCGGAAGCAGCCTCAAAGCAACCTTGGGAAGAACTTGGATCACTGGACAAATTGTTCTAAGCTGCCCTTTGTAGCTATTTTTTTTCTTTCTTTCTTAGAGGAAGCAAATCTACTTGGACTTCAAGCGTGTGCGTTGATGGTTGTTCTTAGGCTTTGCATATTTGGGCAACTATTTAGGGGTGTAGTGTTTTAAGGACAAAGCGGAATAAGCTTATCAGAAAAAACCCATGTGAAGTGATAGTGCCGTGCCTTTTTTTCGGTTCTTTCGAAGACCCTTCCTTTCTGTTTTTTTAAAAATTCTGAATTATTTTTTTTTAAAAAAAAACCCACCCACCCACCCATCTCTTGTCTAGGCTGACACCAAAGTCCCTTCAGCGACCGAGTTCCACCGTGTGGAATGTGGGTTTCGTGTCCCGTCTCCCCCCCCCCCCAATAATTCTTTCTGACTCACTCATCTATAGACCTGATTTTAATTTTACTTAAGGAAAAAAAAGCAATATTACAGCAATATTTAGGATCGGTAACCATTGACTTGGTCATCACTTCAACAGGCGTCTGCTCTGTAAAAGCATCATTGGCCTCTCTAGGAAAAACACACATATACTTCGAATTGGTTTCAAGAGGAGTGAGGGGGGCTTAACATTTTGAGACAGACTGGCAGGTTTGAAGCCTTCGACTGGAACTTGGTAAAAATTGAAGCACAACCTCCAATTTTTTTTTAAAGCACAAAATTAGCCTGGGAGAAAGCAAGGGGAGGCCTCTGGTTTCGTTCCGGGGATCCATTCCGGGGATCGGCTGGCCCATTTGATGCTGTAGGGCAGCATTTCTCAAATCTTGGGTGGACTTCAATTCCCAGAATTCCCTCTGGCCAAAGCTGGCTAGGGGGAATTCTGGGAGTTGAAGTGCATCCATCTTTAAATGGCCAAGTTTAAAAACCCAGCCATAGGGGTAACTGCAATAAAATTTGGGGAAGAGGCCATCGGCCCCAAACAGACTAGATCTCTTCTGCTCCGTTGGAAAAGTTTGGCCCAGCTTGTGGAAATAAGTTGCCCCAGTAACGATGTCCTCTCCAGCAGCTGCAATTGGCCCTGGAGCGGCTCTTCAGAATCTGCAAGAAGAAATCGGTTCCATGAAATTAATGCCCACCAGATCTCATCGGGAAGCGGCAGGGGAACCACTTGAAATGGGGCATCCCGGGAGGGGGAGGGGGCCCCCAATCCTAACGGTGAGAGGTTGCTTCCCTTCATACGCAGCTCCAAGCCCTGGGAGAAGGAATCTGTGTTCCCATAGTGCTGGGCTAGTGGCTTTGGAGGGTGCTTCCCAACCCCCCACCCCATGCGTTTTACGCCCAACACGGTGGTATTCCACCGGTTTGGCCTGGTTCTGCCGAGCTGGTAGCAGCGATGAGCAGTGGAGACCGATCCGGTTTTCTCCGACACTCGGCTGTCGGGCCCGCCTGGCTCCTATACTCAACTTTATGTCCTGCTTTTGAAGCGCAGCCGCTTTGTGCGGCACAGCAATGGCCATGTGGCAGCTGCTGAAGCGACGGAGCGTGCAGGATTGCAGGAGGTGACTCAAAACGCCTCCGCACCAAGCCGCGCCCACCGAACCGGTGGTAGCAGTTTTCAAAACACACCACTGGCCCAATGGAGCACAAAACCCTGTTCTTCCATTTGGGAATTCCTTGTTCAATTTTTCACGAGCGGGAAGAGATCGCTCCAGCCTGACTTCCTTGCAAGCTGCGGGAGGAAATCCGTTGCCTCTCCCAGCTGACCATCGTGGGGACCTCGGGTGGAGTGGGATGGGGCCCCCGGTCAGCCTTTCCATCTCTCTCTTTGACCCCTGGAGGAAGACCCTCGGCCTGCTATGCCTTTCCACCCACCCTATCCACTCACAGCCATCTGGATTGAGCTAGCAAGAACCAGGCCGGGCCAGACACATCTTACCGGCGTCCCCGTTGCCGACCCACCTTCTAAAGAGGCTTTCTTAACGTGGTATTTTGTAGCATCCCAGTTACGCAGGCAGGGGCTGCCCTGATGCACGAGGCTGCTGATTTTGTGCAACGCTCCCCTCTCCCTCTTTAGAGCAGGGGTCTCCAACCTTGGCAACCTTAAGGCCTGTGGACTTTGCTGGCTGAGGAACTCTTGGGAGTTGAAGTCCACACGTCTTAAAAGTTGCCAAGGTTGGAGACCCCTGCTCTAGACTGCACAGGTAGCAAGAGATCTATTCCACGTGGGCTCAGAGGGGACCAGGGTTTCCTTGTCACGTGGACTGGAGGCCAGGCCACCGAGCTGGTCTGGAGCTCCCAACTCCGCTTCCCAGGGCCCATCTTGTGGCCATTTGGTGCAGATTGGGGGGCCCATCCTCATTCTCTTGTTGGGAGGAGGTTGCTTCCCCCCTCCCTGACCCCGTTGTTGGGACCGAGCCTCTAAACCTAGTTCAGACATCCCCTCCATCTCTCCCTCCGCTTGCACAGTCTGTTGTGTTTCTCTCGCCCTTTGGTGTCTCTCCGACCGGCCGTGATCTGGGGGAACATGCGTTTTCCCAACCGGGCTCACCCTGCCCGCAGGACGCCGCTATTCTCCTTCCTCTTCCCATGTCGCTGCCGCTTTCGTCCAATCTACTGTGTGGGTCCTTTCGAGGGAGGCTTTGTGAATGCTACTGTTTTTTTTTGTTTTTGTTTTTTATTTTTAGGAAACAACTAGCTTTATCCGTTGAAAACGCAGGTCCCTTTGAAGAGACTTTGGTGAGATGTCGTCTTTTTTTCGGGGTGGGGGGTGATGGAGGGTGTTTCCCGCAATCTTTTACTCTCTGGAGAAAAGTGCAATATGTGTGTGGTACGTTCTTTAGTGTATTTTTTAAGGAAACGAAGATTAAAAAGAAAGAGTTAAAAGGATTTAGCCTTCGCTTGGGGAAACCTGCACCAAGGTTGCAAAGGCCTCTTTTGGTGGGGAGGGCTCCCTTTGTAGTATTTACATGCCGGACTCTGTCAAAGCAATTGCAATGTATTAATGCAGAATAAAGAACTTGGACCTTCCTCTTTTTTGGGGGTGAGCTCCGTGACATCAGCTCCTGCTGTTCTGACCAAGGCTTCCTGAGACTAATTAAGCACACGCTTACTTAAAGCAACTATTATTTTATTGCAACGCTGGGAATTATGTTCATTCCCAGGCAGTAATGAGTTCCAATCAGTCCCTCGAGATAAGCACCCACCTTTCTCTCCTTTGAATTACAGCCAACAACTAGAGTGCCAAATGAATTATAAAAAACCAACCGAAGCACAAAGTCTCAACAGAGCCTCAAGGTTGAATCCAAACAGAGCGAATGACTTTGCTTCCTGCAAAGGTTTCTCTACCTTTGCCTGTCATTTATATCTTATGGGAGAGCCAATCGCCTCCAAACGTCAATCCCAAGTTGCCCCTTTTGTCTCAGCTGCTTTCGCCTTCTAGCAGCTCTGCGCACGTGCGCACTGGGAACAGGCTCCCCTGGGTCCTCAGCCTCGCTGCTGCCAGACTCCAAAGGTTCTGGAGGCAGCACCCCACTCCCAGATGGTCCTGGCCCCATCTCTGCATTGGATGCAGGACCTTCATCTGAGTCCTCTCCAGACTCCCAGACTGGTCCCTGTTCTTCCCCACTATCCGATTCCACTGCCATCTGCACCGGCTGCCGGTGAACCACAACAGCCTTTCTCTTGCGGATCTTCAGGAGGCTGCTCACATAGGCAGGTGTAGTTATAAATCAAAAGTCCAGCAGCAGAAATAACAGGTCGCCACCTTGATCCCAGGTACCTCCCAGGAGAGCTGGGAAGGCCCATCGCTGCAGTGGGTTGAGATTCTGACTTGGGAAGCAATAGCACTTGGACTTCGCCGTCTCACGGTGCTTTTACAGCCGTTCTAACCACTGAGCCACCACGGCTCAAGCGATCCCGCGAGCAAGTGCACGTGTTCCAGGATTTCTTTTCCAAGATTTTTCTTTTCTTTTGACTGTTCTCTGCAACCAGTGTTCCCATTTATGATCTTTGCAGGCCTGCAAATCGAAGGAAAGCTGGATATGGTCAGCGCAAATTCCAGGTTCCCTTAGCAACCACTTCGTTTCACGTCCAAGTTGCCCGTTCCAATCGTGGTCACTCAGTTAGCGCCTCCTATTCTTCCTCTGAAGTTTTCCTTCCCTAGTTTGATGTCCTGAGGGCAGCTTCTAGTACTTCAAAGCTTGATGAGGTTTTGGTGTAGTTCGACCTATGCAGAATAGGAAGGAACCAGAGAATTATATCATTATTTTGCCAGGGCTTCGCTCTCCAAGCTTGTTCCAATTTAGTTTCTGAACATTTCATTACCAAACTAGGTAACATCATCAGCAGGATTTTTCTTGTCCTGTTCTTAGCTTATAAATGTCTGGTATAATAACAGCACATTATTATTTTTTAATCAGAACCCAAATGTTCAGTTTCCACCTTTTCTTCATTCTTCCCCTTGGATACTACAGGCTGCCAATAAGCAGATTGCAGCCTTCCTCCAGCCCAAACACGGGTGCAACTTAATCCCATGTCAGTTTTAATTTCTATCTCGAGGATTATTGGACGGCATGCGGAGCGCAAACAAGTCACTTTGCACGGTGCCATGGGAAAATAACGCTGGGGTTTTTGCTCTCTCTCTCTTGCAGGTAGAAATTCCATCTGTTGGGTGGCCTTGAGGTGGCAAATTGACTCAACAGGTTAAGATGCTGAGCTGATTTCATCAGAAGAGGCATTTTAAGGTGTATTTAGTGGCATTTAAGTGTAGTTACAAAAACATCTATCTCTCCTGTATTATGAAATAGAATAAATGACCAAAAGTCAATTGGATGTAGTGATTAAAGCAATGTTTTTCAACTTTAAGAGGGGTGGACTTCAACTCCCAGAATTCTGGAAGTTGAAGTCCACTCCTCTTAAAGTTGCCAAAGTTGAAAAGCAATGCCTTAGATAGCACCGTTCTGCAAAGCAACCTGTTTTATAATCGATGCAGGATTTTTCACTCCATTTTTGAACAACGTACAGCAGTGGGTTGCCCAGGCTTTTGTGATAAAGTGTTATTTAAAAGGTGGGATTCTGAGAGCCGAACCCATCTTTAAAAAGTTGCCACAGTTGAAACACAACAGGGGTGAAGTCTCTAGGCTGGAAATCAGCAGATTTGTGAGTTTTAATACTCCCTTAAGGCACCAAGCCAGCTGTTTGTTTCTTTCTCTCTCGTTCTCTCTGAAAGACTTCCAAACACTTCCAAAAATGCAGGAACTTGTTCAGGTCGTTGCCAGCTATCAAGACTGGCTCTTAGACACACAAACACACACACACACACACAAGTGTAGAAATAGGCTGAGTCTGGAAAGGAAGCTTAGCGACAACCAATAGCTGCGTTCTCACACTGCGTGAAGTCATTGCCTGGCTGGGTCAGTTTTGCCTGTTCTTCCGAATCGTGTTATTAACTTTTGCAAAGCACCACCCGTAAGAA